CGTTCACCGACTCATGTGTGTGTGTGTGTGTGTGTGTGTGTGTGTGTGCGTGTGCGTATTGTGATGTTCACTACACACAACTCCACAGAAAAAGAAGGCATGACTGTGCCCGACTGTTTCGTTGGTTCGTTGGACTTTCACGGACTCATTTGTGTGTGTGTGTGTGCGTGTGTCACCGTGTGTGTGGTCATGTTCCATGTACACAACTCCCCAGAAAAAAACATGACAGAGTGTGTGTGTGTGTGTGTGTGTGTGTGTGTGTGTGTGTGTGTGTGTGAGAGAGAGAGAGAGAGAGAGAATGCGTGTGTGTTCGCCTCGTACATGTGTTCAGGACCTTGAGGTATAGGCCCCGTTCATTGGCTCAACGAGCTCTGGGTGCGGATGCTTGGTGAGTTCGCTGAACTCGTTGAGCGGCTGTACTGCTCTAAGCGAAGTGACTGTCACGGTCGTTTTCTGAAGTGAACGGATTTAGGGCACGCTCACACTCAGTCTGGTACTTTCGTAAAACAGCGAAAAGATCAGGAAAGACATGCGGAAAAGAGATGCATGGTCACATTTATGAGTTTCAACCAGTGTAAAAAGACTGATGGAGGGTTAAAAAAAAGTCCCTAAGCTTGTACTTAGACGTGAGCTGTCCGTTCTTTTCATCGCGTCTCGGGCAGGCGAACGATGAGAAAAAGAGCAAGAAAGATCGCCTCTACCCAGGCTGGGCGTTCTTGCAGGCTGGGGAACGGGAAGAAGGATCATATAGTCCGATGAAAAGCCGATTTTACTACGACGAGGAGTGCATATGACATTGTGTGAGTGCTCCCACAGGGCCTCGCTCCACTACACAACATCCTAGACGTATCTGGACTTCATCGTGCCGAACGATACATTCGGACTTTTCCAAAATTTTGAATGCATCCCGACCAGTTTTGCGTTGTGTGCTCGACATCTCTGTCAAACACTGTATGGCGATTTCTGGTTGCTGTTGTGGGGATGAGAGAGAGATTGCTTGTTGGGAACGGCCGTTCTTTCCCCGAATAGACCGTGCTGTATCTAGACTGAAAACTGCCTCCAAATGCAGGCATAGCGGCCGTTCTTCACCCGAATAGAACGTGCTGTATCTAGACTGAAAATTGCCTCCAAATGCAGGCATAGGGCCTCGGTGCACTACTCTTTCTTTTTCTTTTCTTTTTTTTAACAAAACAAACTCTTCTCATTAGGCAAATAGAAGGGACTGGGAGGCCGCGGTCCTCACAATTCTACCCGGTAATGTAACCCAAGTTCTTAGCCAGACCACAAGAGTGTTAATTACCACTTGCTTTTTTATGTTGCGTGGCCATGTTGGGCTGGCCTCTGTTTGCCGTTGCCAGGTTGGTCTGGTATCTGTTTGCTAGAAATTAGTTAAGTCTCTACCCCGTGGGCTGGGGAGAGATCCGGGTTGGTTGGTGTTCCCCCGTACTGTACATAGACTAGTGAGAGGATGAGATAGATGAGTACTAGCAAGAAAAATGAGATAGATGAGAGAAGAATATAGATTTAAAAAAATAAAATAAAAAAAAATAGTGCAGTCTGGCTGCACTACTCTTGAATCTTGAGAAATCAAGAGTTCATCTCCGCTGGACTTAACTCTTGACGCAGCGTGCTGAATTTCCATTCAAGAGCTGTCAGATTCACTCTCGAAAACGTAGAGAGTGAGTCATGGCTGCACTATGGGCCTGGCTCCACTACTCTAGACTCTAGAAATATTTCGAGAGTTCGAGTAGCATTGTCAGAGAGGCGAGACTCTCGAAATACCCGCCTTCGCTGCGCTTGCACTCTTCAAGTTGAGTCTAGCGTAGTGCAGTGAGGCCCGTAGTGGCCGTACTGTGACGAACTAGCTTCTGTAATGCGCGACTTTCGGCGCGACGTGCTAAGCAAGGTCCCACGTCGATTGGACGGGTTGATGGAAAATTGCATGTGTGTCCTTGCTTTCTTCGTTGTTTCTTCGCTCGCGCACGAGCCCCTGATGACAG